AAGTCAGTTCAGCAGTAAGTCATAAATATGTAAAATTCTAATGAAATTTAAATTAAAAGGAAAAGGTGAAGAGTGACCTCTTGATTAACATAACATTCTAGGGAACTTTCATATCTATCCTGAAATATTTGACGAAGGTCACGTAACTCTGGTAGATCAGAAAATCTTGCAGCGGCAAACATCAGAGATGATATAGCCTCCCTGACCTCCTCAGGACATCCACTGTAAAAGACATGAGGAAAAAATTTATGAAATAGTTCCATGAACTTAAGAATATCTAGACACTGCATGTAACCAAACAATGCATATCAGTGTACAGAATAAGTTCAACATCAGGAACAGAAACTATTGAAGAACAATATTCCTACTGCTCCCACTCTTATCAAAAGAATGAAAGAAAAGAATTATTTTGGCCAATAATCTGATAGCCAGATCACAACTATTACAACAACACAACAATCTGATAATAAAACTTGGGTTTCCCATGAAATTAATATTTCTTGGCCCTTCTTTCACCTTTCTACATTTAACAATTTGCATGTATACTGCCAAACATTATTAGTTTCTTACTATTATTTTGGGATGAAAACCATAGAGCATTATCATATACGAAGTCTAGATGCATAAATTCCATTATATAATCATTAGTGTTGAAATTCCAATTATAGGATCAATTATCAATACAAAGGTCAACTTTTGCCTGACACTTAAATCCTATATACATGCACACACATGTACTTGTGGTGTTGAACATTAATCCTGTTTTATTTCACAAGTTATGACATAGCATGAGAGAAGGAAAATCTTTCCCCCTAAAAAAGAATTGCATTTCTACTATTGTTTTTGATTTGCACGCAAGGATGAAAGACAATTTATTAACAACATCAAAAGAAAGAAGACAACCAACTAGGGTATAGTCATTATCCAGGGCATAAATTCCATTGTCTATCTTGAATCAAAATTAAATCTCGAAACAGAACCATAGAACTTTCGTTCATTTTAATCTTGGATACTGGAAAGTAAAGTGAACACTGAACAGCAATGTGGAAGACTTTGTAAGAATGCTTCTATATCATCAGACACATTGAAAAGATCCCAAGGTTTATTTTGAGTCATAAACAGTGATTTCGAATGGGAAATGAGATAATGAAAGTTAAAAAGTAAATGCAATTGGACACTCAATTCTGATAGGAACAAATTGAGAAAACAAGGTACAGACTACAACTTGAGAAATATACAGCCTTGATTAACTGTTTCTTTCAAATAACTACCAAAAGGAAGTCACTATAACAGACACATCAAGCCTTGCAGATTTATTAATCAATTATCAGCATGGTTCAAATGACAAAAGAAAATCCATCAATATCTTAAGCATAAATCATTAAAATAGATTCATACCTCACTTTCTGCAACACTGAAAGGTGCTTCAACACAAAGTCACAAGATTGTTCCACAAAATCATAACAAGACGATAAAGTCAACTCAGCAAAGAGTCCTTCAACCTGTATAACCACCCACAAGTAGGATAAAACATGAATTGGGCAAAAATATTATGTTTCAAAGACAATATTTATGGGCACAATCCAATCCAAACATCTGTTAGTTCTAAAGTCCCTTTCTAACAAACAACAAGTTGATAGGAATTCATCATTCTCATACTTGAAAGAAGAAAAAAAAAGACGGTTGAAAAACAGTTCTCATTAGTCGTCTCTGTTTCTAAACCCAAAACACAAAGTTTCAATGTGTAGTCAAAAGATAATCAGAATCCATCATGCACCTTCGACAGGCAGAATTATGCATACAACTTATACTTTTATAATTATTGACTTAATTAACAATTCCTATATATTAAACTCAAGTCTTTACATTCTTGGCTTTCTAGTTTCTACATATCATATATCTTACATTTTTTCTTTTTTATTTTCCTCCCAAATATTATTGCTTAAAGTTATCCAATCCTATGCTATACGGTTGTTTATACCGAAAAATTTCTACAGTTACAAAATTACATTTCATACATTTGAATTTTGACACATTAAATTAATAATTTGATTGAGACAATTTATTTCCATAATTTATTCCTAATTTTTTAATTATCTCTTTAATTCATTCTTATACAATAAAAGGAAATAAAATCTTCATTCATGACAATGAGTTTATTTCCTATTATTCTTTATTCTAGCTCAATTATTTAATAACAGTGGTATTTCTCGATATTTTTCTATATAAAATTCTAAATAAATATATTGTATGTTACTAAAATGTAAATTAGCCAGTATATGTTGAAGGATTTTATTCTTCTAATTTGGTCATCGTCAACTTTTTGCTGGATCCACGCCAAACCTTTTGTTTGACTATCAGTATTTAGTAGAATCACGCATGCGTCTCTTTAGACAAAGAGATTATGAAGCAGTGTATTGATCTCAAATATCGATTCTAGTGTTACATTACAACAAACCAGATAAAAAATAAAAGAAAAATGAAAATAAAAAGCAATTACCCTTCCATAAGCATTGACATCCAAACCATTCGCCAGCAGATCAGCGATGTCCTTCTTCAGAAACTTCTCCGTCGCCTTCCTCTTCCTCCTTATCACATCGATCCGATTCTTCGTCAATTTGATCAACGATTTGCTAAAACGCAAAAGAAAAAATAAAACAAAACACAAATATCATATCATAATTCATAACTACATTATCAAACTTCACCACGGTTCCTTCATCAGAAACCAAATCAGTTAATAACTATCAACAAGTAAATAAGCAGAGAAACCGAAGCGTAAAACCATTTCGCGGCGAATCCTCGACCGAGCAAGCCGTCAAACATGCCGGAAGATCTGTGCCTGCGCCAAACTCGGTGACTCGACTCAGCTAACGATTCGACTCGGTAGCTCGGAATGTGAGATTCTACACTGACGAAGCCACGTTCGCGTTCGCGTTCGCGTTCGCGTTCGGCGCAGAGAGCAATAGCACAGAGCTGAAGTAGAAGAGGTTGAAAAAGTGAAAGAAGAAGGAAAAGTGAAAGAGAAGAATAGAGAAAAGGCTAATTTTGAGGCTAGTTAGTTACGATAATGACCTTCGCCCCTTTCCTAATGCATATGATGTTCACGTTGCCGCAGTGGATAACAAAAAAAATTGGGATGAGTCAAAATAACATTGACCGTTGATTTGGTGACTTCGGGAGTGTGGAATCATGACGGACGGAGAAGATCTAATGTGTAAGGAATCGATGAGAATCTGTGCGCTGAGCTGGGTCGCACTAACGGCTCACCAGGATTCTTATTGGCTTGGACCAAACGCAATAAGGGTTCAGTGGGCTTGTCTTTGAAGTGGATGTGGTAGGTTCTAAACGCCGTAACGACAGTTTTAACATGAACATGGAAAATTCACCCGAAAAAAACAAAAACATTAACAGAGAAATCTGCAAGAAATTGTATCATTTTTCCATTCCTACATATTACAACCTCTTTTTCTTTTTCTTTTTCTTTTTTTATCCAAAGCTATCTACGAGAAAAGACAATAAATTTTAGAGATTTATTAATATTTTTATTGTTTTATTTTTCCTTTATTATGAACTCTAATTAATTTTGTATTGATATAATTAATAAAATAAAATATTAATTATGGTAATTAAAAATATTTTAAATTTCTGACAAAAAATTTATACTTTAAATTAAGATAATTTAATTATTCTTAGGTGTATAATTTGATTAAATAATATATGTATTATTTTATATAAATAAAAATAATTACGTATAATTTATTTTTATTTTAATATATTGTAAAGAATAATTTTTTATTTTTAATACTATTCTTACTGTTAATTTATTAATTTAATTTTAATGTTATAATTTACTTAAACACTTATAATTTATTTTTAATATATTATTTTTTTATATTAATTCATTATTTTTATTTGTTGCAAATTAAATTATCGCATACAGAAATTTTGTCTCTAAAACCAAAATTAATAAAATCATTCGTGACGTATAACTAAAATTATGTAAAAAAAAACAAAAAAATTATTCACATTCAATAATGATTCAGCTATGTTTCCTCATATTATATTTATATCTTTATTTTAACGGAATTGCAAAAAATTTATTGTAAAATGAAAAACAACTGTCATTAAAAAATACGGAATAAAAAAAAAGAAAAAAGAAATAAATATAATTTAATAGTCCCTTTATAATATTAAATTCATAATTTTAATTCCTTTATTTTTAAATTTGTAATCTTAATTCTTCAATTTTATAAAATTCACAATTTTAATCTTCTTATTAAATGTTGCATTGATCTTTAAAATTGTTACGTTTATCTTAATCTAATATTATATATATGACACCAAAATTAACATTTAATAATACTTAAGTTAACTCTTATTTTTATCTTATTTTACCACTTTTATTATATAAAAATAAGGATTAAAAATAAAAATTATTTTTAATATTATTAAATATTAATTATTATATTATCTATTTAATATAAAATTATGACTAACGTTACAATTTTAATGAACATTCAATTAAGAGATCAAAATTATAAATTTATAAAATTGAAAAACTAAAATTGTAAATTTAAAAATAGAAGCCTAAAATGACAAATTTAATAGTATAGAAAAACTAAAAACAATTTAACCGATAATGTAACCAAAAATTGTAATACGACAACCAAAAAATAATACATAATACTTTTTTTTTTTTTGTAAAATCTCTCATATAACTTTTTTACGAGCAATTATAATACTTATTGCTTGTAAATTTTTTATTAAATTTTAAAAAGAATATAATATTACATCACATAACTCAATATTTTTATTAGACAATAATGTTTGAATTTAAAGCCTTTTGCATATTGTTTCAACTTTTTCTTATCATTAAACCAATCTTAGTGTTTCCACGTGTTTTACTGTGATGGTCGAAACTGTAACACTAAGTATTTTTTTAATAATTGTTTATTTTATTAATTTTGTTATTGTAAAACTTTAAGGATTTAAGAATTCTTATGATTTTTTGTTGTTTAGGAGTTGTTTTGAGTTGAGGTCAAAATTGACCAATTAGAGAATGATATATAAGGTTTTCCTTAAGACCTTAGCTTCGTAAGTTCATTTTTTAAGAAAACCTAAAAAAAAGTTAGTGAGAAGAGTTTTGGAACTTGAAAGAATTCCTTCTTCACTGATCCCATTAGAGACTTCTAAGAACCCTCCTGAAGTGAATTTTGTGTAGTTGAGCTAAGATTTGCAGCTTTGGAAGCTAAGGATTGGAGGGTTGGTGGTTTTGTGTAAAGTTCCCCAAATAGTCTTTCCTTCTTCCTTTTCTTCTAGTTGATTCAGAGGTAAGAGAAGCTATAATTTGAATTTTTTTATGAATTGTTAGAGTTGTATACTGCTTGAATTCATTAAAATTGTGGTTATATTGATGATTGTGAGGTAGAACTCCTATGTCGTGGGTATTTGGTGTTTCTTGAACATGTTGAAGAGAAATTGGTGATTTTAATCATATGTTGGTTGCATGTCACTTTCTTTTTGAATTTAAGTGCTTGTGAAGTGTATGTATGGTTTTATGAATTCATGTTGGTAATTTGTTGAGTTTTAGGTGGATTGAGCCAAGACAGGAATTTGCCAAATGCATAGATCACTATCGCGTCGGGTGCAACTTCATGATATCGAGCGTGATGCATGTCAAAGACTCTTCGCCTCACTAACGTCAAGCATGTGATTGGTAACGTCGGGTGTGAGTTGGAGGATAACTCTCTAATTTTGGTTATGTTGGACATGGATTGAATGGCGTTGGGCGTGAATACCATTGGAGCTCTCTTATTTGGTGATGTCAGACCCTAGTTGAGTGGCATCAGACGTGATCAAGGTAGAAACTCTATACCTCAATGATGTCGGGCGCTAGTGTTGTGATGTCGGACATGAGTCAGGTAGAAACTCTCTATCTAAAATGGGGTCAAGCATAGGTTTTGCTACACTAAGCGCGATTAACCCAAGGATTCTCTACCTTAGTCATACTAGGCACAGGTATATTGGTGCCAGACGTGTGCGAGCTAAAGGCTCTTTATCTCAATGACGTCGAATGCAAGAAGGATGGCATTGGGCATGAGTTGTTAATCGAAAATGTGTTGTATAATTGACTAAGTGTTAAATATGTGTATGATAGTTAGATCCCTCACATGTTGTATGTTGTTATATGTTTCTAATGTATGTATATGGAGTTAGAATGATATATGTGGATATTTAAGTTGTTTAAAGTTGTAAGTTGTAAAATGTTGAAATATGGAAAGAGGAAAATTTGTTTTAAAAGTTGAATATTTCATCATGAGAATATGGTGTTCTGGTGTTTTATAATCTCAGTTGTTGAAAAACCTTATTGAGAAATTGACTCTTGAAGTAGAGTGTTGAGTCTCCTCCATAACCTTAGTTGATGTTGTATGGAGATAGGTCGAGTCATACATATATAAAACAACCAATTTAAATTCGTATGGCGGTAAAATCAAGTCATACATATACAAAGCGACCAAATAGAGTAAGGTACAAGGTTGGGGGCCAAAATCACTAACTAAATACTGAAAAGGGCATAGTATTTAGAGGGTAGTTGGTGAGATAATCCCATAGGAAGTTTAGTTACGCATGTTAAGGTCGTAGTAAGCTCACACTCAAGTTGTCCTACCCTAACAGAAATATTAGACTTTCTTAGTTTAAGGGCTTTTTGACCATTGTGGGGTCATTTTGTAAGTTTTTTACGTAAATGGGGTTCTTTTGAAAGTATTTACGCCTTTGGGGCTGGTTATAACGGTGTCGCTATGGGCTATAGCGACACCAGTGACACGTGGCATTTTTTAAACTCCATGAAAGCCATATTGATAGTGTCGCTACAACCTATAGCGCCACAAAACAGCTTCACTAAAGTCGCTATAGCCTACAGCGCCACATATTTAATATAAAAAACGATTTTAGAAATAAATAAAAATGTGATAAAAAATAATTTATTTAATAATTTTAAAAAAAGTTAAAAATATAGTGGCGCTATGGCCTATAGCGACACTGTGTCGCTATAGGCCACAGCGCCACTTATTTTAAAAATTAAAAAACGTAAATAAAAAAATAAATATGTAAAAAATAAAGAAAAATTAGAAATAACTAAATATATAAATATATATTTTTATGATATTCATAAATAAATTAAAATGTAATAAAAAATCATTTATTTAATAATTTAAAAAAAAAAAATAGTGTCGCTATGGGCTATAGCGATACAGTGTCGCTATAGCCCACAGCGACACCACAGCGACACTGGACCCCTCTTCTTCTGCTTGCAATCCTCGCAAACCCTCTTGGAATGAAGTTTTCGCTTCTTCGCGTATGTACTCAATTTTTTCCCCCATAAAAAGTTGCGTGCTTTTGTTCCAGATCTGTTCAAGTTTCTCTTTTTATTACCTATTCCTCTTTCATTTTGCTGAAATAATTAATCCAAATATTTATTTTTATTTTTATTTTTATTGAATAATTAATCCGACAATTTTGATCTCTTTTGTGTGTTTGTTTTTATCTTTAAATAAATTATACAGTACCCAGCACGTTTTAAATAATAAAGAAATTTTAAAACAACCCAAATAATATGTAATCGTTTAAAAATTATATAAAATTAAAAAATTACACAAAACATACATTTATAAATATAATCTTATGTTAAAATGAATAATAAAAAATTAAGTTTGTAAAAAATAATTTCAATGAATAATTTAAAAAAAAAAAACAAAAAAAAGCTTGTGGCGCTATGGCCTATAGCGACACAGTGTCGCTATAGGCCATAGCGCAACTTATAAAATTAATATAATTTAATTTATAATTAAATTTGTACAGAAGTTAATTTTAGTTTTTTATAAATATATAATAATTAAGTCAGTTTGTTATTTTTATTTTTACATTTCTATTATTTTCGTTTTTTTTTTCTTATAGAGTGTCGCTATGGGCTACATCATCTTTGTTGAGCCATCACCCGTGGTGGTCCAGCCTATAGCGACACTAATGTGGCTCATTTCCA